GGAGTATGGTAAGAGTGTATGTCGTTTAAAAAATTTTTTGCATGATTTGAAACAATCACTGAGGGCATGATTTGGTAAATTTTCAGATGTAGTTTTAGAGTTTAGTCTTCTTTGATGTCAGACAGACCATTCTGTGTTTCATAGACAGACGAATGCTGTATATATTCTATTGGTGGTTTATGTAAATGATATTGTGATTACTGAAAATGATTCTAAGGGAATTGCCAAGTTAAAAATCTTCTTGCATGATCGATTTCATACTAAGGATTTGAAAAAACTCAAGTATTTCTTAGAAATTGAAGTGGCTTATTCTAAATAAGGTACTTGTTTATCACAGATAAAATATGTACTTGACATACTAAAGGAAGCAGGTTTACTGGGTGGCAGACCAATTGATGTTCTTATGAATCCGAATCAGAAACTATTGATGGATGATGCTGCACTGTTTGAGAATCCGGGTCAGTATCACAGATTAGTTGGCAAGCTTAATTATCTCACTATTACTCAACCGGATATTTCTTATGCAGTCAGTATAGTAAGTCAGTTCATAGGGTGTTCTCAAGTACCACATTGGGAGGCTGTTACTCGTATTCTGTGATATCTCAAACGAGCTCCTAGACTTGGACTTTTATATCGAGCTAATAAACATCTTAGAGTAGAAGATTTTCAGATGCTGATTGGGCTGGCTCTCCTTCTGATCGAAGATCAACCACTGGTTATTGTACTTTCTTAAGAGGTAACGTTGTCTCATGAAAAAGTAAGAAGTAATTTGTGGTAGCAAGATCTAGTGCTGAGGCTGAGTATAGGACAATGGTACATACGACAAGTGAGTTGACTTGGCTACTACACTTTTTTCTAAAAAATTGGGTTTCCAGTTCAACCTCTTTTATAGTTGTTTTATGACAATCGGGCAGTTATCCATATTACTGTCAATCCAATGTTTTACGAGAGAACCAAACATATTAAGGTTGATTGTCATTTTATTCGGAACAAGATAGTAGCAGTGGAGATTATGACTCTATTTGTAAAATCTGAAGATCAACTTGCAGACATGTTTACCAAAGTATTGAGTCGTAAACGTCTTACAACAATTTGTTCTAAGCTTGGATTATATGATATATATAGTCCAACTTGAGGGGGAGTGTTAAGAGTATTAGGGTAGTATATGTAAATTGTTAATAGTGTTAGGGTATTATGTATAAATACAAGAGGGTGTGTGTGTAATTCTTATTATTGTGAGTTAACTATAAATACAAGTGATGAATGAGAGCTAAGTTAAGTATTAACCTTTCTCTGTTTCTCTCTAATATTGTGTTAATCTTCTACAATTGACAGGTTTCTTCTATCCTGAAAAGGGTTTTCATCAAGGAGATCCCTTGTCACCTTATTTGTTTCTGATATGTACAGAAGGTTTAACAGCACTCCTACGCAATGCAGAGTTGAATGGCTCGATCACAGGAGTCTCGGTGGGTAGGGGCGGTCCACGTATCTCACACCTTTTGTTTGCTGATGACAACTTATTATTCTTTAATGCAGCACAATTGGAGGTTGGAGCAATTAAGTCAATACTTCGCATTTATGAAGCTACTTCAGGGCAAAAAATCAAGTTGGAAAAGTCTGCAGTGGTCTTTAGCAGCAATTCTTTGGAGGTACAGGCCAGCCAAGTTCAGCAAATATTGGGGGTAGAACGTGTTTACCAACATGATAAATATCTGGGCCTCCCTACTGTGGTGGGTAAATCTAAAAAAGAAGTATTCAACAGTTTAAAGCAAAGGGAATGGAATAAAATGCAAGGTTGGAGTGAACAACTTTTATCTAGAGCGGGGAAGGAGTTATTCATTAAAACGGTGGTGCAATCCATTCCTACATACGCTATGGGGTGACAAAGAGTGGTGGTGCAATCCATTCCGGATAACTTTTTTGAGGAAATAGAGACACTATTGACCAGATTTTGGTGGGGACAAAGACAAGGGGAGAGGAAAATACATTGGGTTAGCTGGAGAAAGATGTGTACAAGCAAAGAGAGGGGTGGCATGGGTTTTAGAGGTCTTAAGGTTTTCAATTTGGCGATGCTTGCGAAATAGACTTGGAGAATAAATACAAAGGTTAATTTACTTATTCATCAAGTACTTAAGGCAAGGTACTTCCCTTCGACATCTTTCATGGGGACAGAGATTGGACATAGACCTTCTTATACATGAAGAAGCATTTCAGGAGCAAGGAAAGTTGTGGAAGCAGGTCCAAGATGGCAAATAGGTGACGAATCCAGAGTCAATATTTGGTCGGATAGATAGATACCTACCCCTGTAAGTTTCAAGCCAGTTTCTCCTAGAAGGGGTATACATGCTTCGGATGGGGTTGGTGGATCTTATTAATGAGAAAACGCGTAGTTGGAACGAGTAGCTGGTGGATGAAATTGTTTTGCCTCATCAGGTGTTGGTGATTAAAGGTATTCCGCTTAGCAGAATTTCAATGGAGGATTGACTGATTTGGCATTATAATTCAAATGGGAGGTTCTCGGTACGTAGTATATATCACATCATTATAGACCAAAAGCTACTACAAGCAGGCCCAAGCAATTCATCTCCTTCATCTAGTGCTAAACATTTTAATTGGAATTTTATTTGGAATCAGAAAATACCAAATAAAATTACGATCTTTGCGTGGTGGGTTTGTTCCAATATACTACCAACAGGGGATAATCTTCAGAGAAGTAGAGTCACTGTGTATGGAAATTGTGGAGTGTGTCAAGAAGATGAGGAGTCGTTGTTACACTGCCTAAGGGAGTGTCCTTGGGCCAATGCAGTGTGGAGTCTCAACACTTTAAAGGTAGTAGTCCAGATTATGTCTTCCGATCCTGGGTAGTGGATGCATGATGTCCATCAGGTCCTTACATCTGATGAGTTTCCTTTGTTCCTTATCCAATGTCGGTTTGCGTGGAGAAATAGGAATATTCGAATATTTGAAAATATGGTTCAAAACCCTGTTGAAATGCAGATGAAGGCAGCTGACTATTACAGGCAGTATAGAGAGGCAGCAACTCAGCCTGTTGTGAATCCTATGCAAAATCCCAATGGTGGCTGGTGTCCCCCAAAGGCAGGTACCTTCAAAGTTAATTTCGATGCCGTTGTATTCACAGATTAAAATGTCTTAGGCGTGAGGGTAGTTATAAGAGATGATTGGGTTTACTTTGTAGGGGCATTGTCTAAAAGGATAGTTATGAGTTGTGATATTCGTAAAGCATAAACTATTGCAGTAAAAATTGCGATCCGATTCGTAAGGCAGCAAGAATTAGTAGAAGTCACACTGGAAGGGGATTCAACAGGTGTTGTGCAATCTATTAGGAGTGATGATGGAGAGTTTGATCCTCTCGAAGTCGTACAAGATATTAACAGTATAGCGAGAAGTTTTTGCTACTTTGAAGTGTTTGAAGTTTGACGTAATAGGAATAAAGTAGCTCATAAGTTAGCTCGTTTTGTTATACTATTAAATAGTAACATTGTATAGTTAGAGCAGACATCAAACTTTGTTATGCCTCTTTTTTTTTCTGACATTCCTAAGATTCCTATCGTTGCTTCTCAAAAAAAAAAAAAAAAAACAAATATATTCATCATATTTACCTCATGTTTTGCACGAAACTATCCTATTTAGATATATAAATTTGAGTATTATCGATAAATGGGTATGACTTTAATGTAGCTTTATTTTGGGGATTGACTGGCATCAATTTGAGATCCTACTGCTGGTTTGCCCACAGGAAAAACTGTATCATTGAAATGGATTAACTTGAACCCTGTAGTCTTTAGTAGGTGGCTGCTTGCAAGACCTGGATATGGTTTGGCCACCGACAAACTGACCAGCGAGTACCTTGAACTATCACTTTTGAAATGCAAAAGATCAAGTAAAGTAGGTGTACCTAAATTTGGTAGGGCACCACTGCATTGAGCATGCCTTAGAGAAAATGTTCATTGAATGGATAAATAATCGTCGAGTTCGATTTTTGGGACTGCAAGTCAGTGTGGAACGATCAAGAATTCGACATCTAAAAGAAAGAAAATCTTATTTTTAGTGAGATATACGAGAATTGTCTTACCTCGATTTTGTAGTGGTGATTTTATACGAGAATTGTCTTACCATTATTTTGTAGTGGTGTTTTTATAATGGGACTCAACACATTTTTTTGATGGATTCATGAGCACTTATGATCATATCAAGTGTACAAGACTCCCACCTATAATAGAGTTTGAGATAAGTGCGTGCTTAGAAAACTAACCCTTCTGTTAGAGAGCGTAATTAACGGACTCAAATCCAAGACATAACATCCCGGGGTGAATGAGTACCTGTGAGTACTCTATGTCTAGGTTCCATCTCTTCTAAAAACGACTAGAAGTAGTGCACAAGGCACCTGCCTATAATAGGGCCGGAGAGAAATGAGTGTTGGATTGTCTTACCCATATTTGAAAGAAGAAGAAAGTAATAAGTTTTTGGTTTGAACTTAGGGCATTCGGTTTACATGGACTTACTGTATTCTTAAGTTGTGTTTGTTTGGGGAATTGGTATTTATGGGATTGATTAATGTATTTTATACACTTCTAATATGGAAAGAAGTTAATACGGATAATAAAAATGAATTCAATCTCATCCCATGTTTTTTTGAGTAATATGTTTTATTGCGGAACCCACCAAAATAATTTATTCTATCACATCTCATATAGTAAATAGACTCTTTTACCCCTAATACCATCTCAGGTATATGTGGGAAGGTGTATTATAGCCATTTAGCTCTCTTATGCCATTGGTGCCCTTTCTTCTGCCTTTTAATATCACATCTCTTGTGGTATTAGATATACCCATGTAAATGAGTTTAGCATTACTGTTCACATCATGTTGGTATTAGGATCCGAAAAATTAATATTTTATTAAAAATAGTTAACAAACGAAGTATATGTGAGACTGATATAGTAATAAGCACTATCCCACCTCCTTATAATCCATTTATTCCCCGTACAAACACACCCTTAAAGTATATAACACTTTTTAAGAACTAACAGTTTAGACAAAATCAGTGATATCTATTTGTTCCATTTCTTCTAGTCTATATCAACAAATACATGCCTCAGGCACACAGTTGGAACCATATCTTTCAATGTCCAAAAACAAAAATAAGTCATATGCCATCTAACGTTAATACCCAAACAATCTACGTGAATAATTACCATGCAATACTGATAATAACATTCTCATCTCTTCACCGATTCCGATTCCATCATACTCTTCTTGATTTTGCCGCCGACGATACCTAACCATGATGTCCTCCGGCAATAAGTTTTTCCGGCACAGTGGACATGTCGCCACGTCTTGCCGGAGCCACGTGTCAAGACAGTCCTTATGAAATGTGTGTTTGCATTTCAACTTCCTAATCTCCTCTTCTTCTTCAATTACCGACAAGCAAACCGCGCATTCCAATGACTCCAATCTCACACTGGTCTTATATCGGCTTGCCGGATTTTTTTTGTAGATGAGTTCAAGGTACTGGGTGGTGGTGATGGGGCGGCTGTGGGAGTTGGAAACGCACCGGGTGATGGAGCGTACTAGAATTACTAGTTCAAGGAGGAGGATGGTGGAGAAGACTATGGCCATGGTGCAGAGGTGAGCTAAGAGTTTAGAGAGAGATGCCATTTTTATTGTGAAGAGAATTGGAAAATTTGATGAGAGTTTATATAAGGCCAGGACATGTGTGGTTCGAATTTGTTTATTTTGAGGATTGGACATGTTGACTGGTTCACTCATGAACACGTAATGACACAAGGAAGTGAGGAATTGGCGAATTGCATTGTACCTAACAAAAGCTTTCTTTCACTTAACTAAGAAAACAAAAGCATTCTTTTCTTCTTTTCTTGGTTTTTGTCGTAAGATTTCCAAAGGAATGAGCCTGCAACATGATTGAGACTTTATTGACTTTATTGTTTGCTTTATCTGATTTGATTTGGTTGAATAACTATCATATTGGTTGAATTACTTTGGACCGTCAACTTTTCTAACCTTCTTAGACAAATTTGTGAAGGTAATTTTGTGTTTATTATACTTATCCCAACCAAAAACAAAAAAAAAAAAAAAAAA